AAAAAAAAAAAAAAACCTTCTTTCCCTCTCACAGAAATACATAAAAAAAAAAAGAGAAAGAGAGAGAGAAAGAATAACGAAGGGAGGGAGAGAATTTTGTCCATTCAACTCATTCAATTTACCTCCGATACCCCCTTTTTTTTTCCCCCACAAACTCTCCCTTTATACTCATGGTGATTCCTTCACAGCCCCTTATCTCTTCTATTTTCTTCCCCAGCCTTATCTGTACCTCCTCCCTTCCACCAGTATCATCATTATCTCCCTCCTAGTATTGCAAGGATTATCATCTTTCTCTTCTCTTCTTTCTTCCATTTCCCTTTTTTTTTTTCTTTTTTTTTTCTCTTTTCAAAGATATTTTCATATCGGAGGGTAGGGAAAAATAAGAAGGTGGAGGGAAGCCTAAAATTCACATCGTCTCTAACCAGAGATAACACCCCAACCGTGTGTCTGTTGTTTCATTTTCAAAACTATTTTCGTTTTTTTCTTTTTTTTCTTTTTTGCTTTAACGTTTTATTTCCCTCTTCATTATCTCTTTCTCCAAACGCACACATGATACTTGGTTACCGTAGAGATTCCTCTTTAGGTTTCTCTGTGGGCAATCTTGTAACTCTTCTTCTTCTTCTCGCTGTTGTTTTACTCACTTTTGCTGTATTTTTTTGCAACTCCAGCAAGAGTAAAAAGAAAACAAAAAAAGATAGGAGGAAAGGAAAGAAAAGAAGAAAAATCAACAAAAAAAAAAAAACAAAAAAGAAACAATCGGTTGAGAGAAACGCACAGAAATGCCGCCACAACCCTTGTATGTGTATATATATATATATATGTGTATGTGTATATGAGTGCTGGTTATGCTGATAATAGTAATGGTGTTATCGGTGTCATCACAGAGAAGGAAAAGAAACTCTATGTCCAGCAGCCCAGAGACCCAGAAGCACAATTACAAACACAGACAGAAAGAGAAAGGAAAAGAGAAAAAGATGGAAGAAAAAAAAAATGAGGGTAGTGGACGAACAGGGAAGAAGGAATAAACCGCGCGCTCTTCAACACGCATACACAGAAATATATATATATATATATATATATATATATTATTTATTTATCTATTTATTTATAATCTGAAAGACATACATACAAATGCATAAAAGAGCAGCACAGAAAAAAAAGAAGAGAGAAGAAAACAAACTGCTTCTCACAACGTCCTAACCCCCACCAAAAAAAAAGCCCAATCTCTTCTTCTCTCCTTCCCATGGAAATAAACAACCAAACACAAAACGCAGACATAAATAGATATATTTATTTATATTTATTTATATATATACAAACGCATGCATGTACATAATTCATGCCTGTGTGGATAAATTAATTCGTCCATACGGGGGTAACTGCCGTTTCACCTGCTGTAGTAATGCCGACATAACCCGCGCTGATTCCTTATCTGTCCATCCAAGTATAGAGAATAGCAAACGTGAGAGAACTTGTGTGTAGAATGGATCAAGAACCTCATCTGGGACAGCCGTACCACGTGCCCTCACTTCACGTGGCTGTTCTGCCCGAATAATATCCCGACGGGTGGCGCAGAGCGCACAGCACTCATCCATAAAGACCCCACATACTTCTTTTGTAAAGATTCGAATAAAATTTCGCAGACGTTTCGCGCTGGGATTAGTTCTATTTGCCCCATTTACCCCATCTGTTTTACCAACATTACACTGCGCAATACCACGCATCGTACTAGTTAAATGTCGACGGTGAGTGGCAAGCCATTCAGAGCGTGGATCCTCTTTTCCCCGCGATGCCCGCCGTTGGACTGTAGACGAAGTGTGTCCAAGGCGTCGGCTCTCTCCATACATTTGCCGCAGTTGTCGCGATAACTCTTGGGCATCACTTGGTGCAAGGACATTCACAACACGTTCCACTTCCGCCGTTCCGCATCTCATTAGTGCCGCGAGGAAATGATCCGCCAGCGCCACTTCCAACACCGCAGGAAGTTCAGGCACCTCCGTCACTATTAACTGCAGCATCTTCACGGTGGAATATCCCAACTCACCGGAGAGTGAACGCCGGTGTCGTCGTTCACGTCTCCAAAGAATATCATCCGGAGCCAGTAAACGTTTAGAACGGCAAAGAGAATGTCTCTTACTCACTCCTCCCACATTACCAGCAGAAACAGAAGTAGAACTCGTGTTTTGTTCTCTGGTGCGTTGAATAGGTTCTGTCTGCTGTACAACACGTCTCGCACTGGGAGGGCAGAGGCCTTCCTGTCTGTATGTGATTGGAATATGTGTGGACATCACCTCTCCCCCCTCTTCGTGGTTGTAGCCCGCTGTTAAACCCATACCCACATGTGATCGCTCCGGGGATACACTGGTCGCCCTAGACGTGGATGCTGGAGCGGCAGCCACCGCAGTGGCAAAGATAGTAACAGTGGAAGCAGCCGTTGCGGTTCCAACACTCCGCTGGCCAGATCTCCCCAATTCCAAACTTCCGGATGGAGACTTACAACTAGCAGACCCTGTGTGTCTGCTAGGTGAGCGTGCGGCAAGTTTTCTCGCAGCGTCCCGCACCAGTTTTGCGTAAACACCAACTTTCCTCTCACTCTGTGGATGTGTCATTGTAGCTACATGAGGTGATGATCTGCGTGATGAGAGTGATTTTCTCCCTGGTCTATTCTCCTGCAACGCATTACTGGCTGCATGTATTTCTCCTCTCGCTGAGGATGACCCAATGGAGTTCTTCGTTACTCTCAAGCGAAGTGGTGCGGAGACATCCTGCGTTGTGGACCCTCCCCGTGGTAATGCTGGTCTGCTGTCAAGACGTTGGCGCCCACCGTTGCGAGTCCATTCATTTTCTTCTTCCGCTTCCTCTCCTTCTCTCTCTCCATCTCCCTGTTGTGGCTCTTGATGTTCTTCCTCTTTTTCTTGATGTTCTTCCTGTTCTTCTTGATGTTCTTCCTGTTCTTGTTGTTGATCCTCTTCGTGTGGATAGTGGTGATTCTGTGGAGTGATGGCTGTCAATGGTGTTTCCCGTTCCCGCGGCTGCTGCTCTTCACCATCACGTCCCTCGTGATGTTCCTCTGTGAAATGTGGTGATGTCAACATATATACTTCTCAACACCCCGTCCAATAATCAACTCTCAGTTCTTTCTTCTTCTCTTTTCTTCTCTTCTCTTCTCTTTTTGTGATGATTGATGATATTATGGTTCTTCTTTTGTAAACTAGAAGGGGAGGAGAGAGGTGGGACACTAACTATCAAAAAATGGATAAAAGTCCTCTCCTTTGATTGGTTTTGTTTGTTGTTTTCTTTTTCCTTTTTTTTCCTGTTTTGGTTGGACTTTCTTTTTCGTTGTTGCTGTTGTTGTTGTTTTATATTTATTTCAGTAATCTTCGCTTATCTTTCACTAATATGTACTTCCAGTACACACACACACTCTCTCTCTGTAAAAGAAACACTCAAGTGTGGTCTGGGGTGGACTAACTAAGTGATAATAACAACGCTATTGCCCCTAATACTGATAATGATCTCTCAATTTTGATGAATAAGAATAATTATTATAATTATAATAATAAAAGATCGCCTTCCGTCTTTACTCTGATTTCCCTTTCTTTTCTTGTTTCTGTTTTCTACCCTTTCTGCAAATAGAAGAAAACAAAAATCTCTATGTTATAGGTGAGAAAGAGACAGATAAAGAATATATTGCAATGGTGTTCTTAGCTATATGATTTTACTTGCTTTACTGTTCTCCTCCTCTAATCTTGTGTGTAAAGTAAATAAAGAGTTAAGAAAAAAAAAAAGAAGAGGCACCATATGTGAAGCAACAACTGCAAAAACATAAGAACATTTAATAAACAAAATATCACAATTGGAATGAATAATAACAAGTATGAGTTAAACCAAAGAATATATATATACATATATATATATATATCCCCAAATAAAATGACTATGAAAAAAGGCTTTGCAATGCACGTAGATGTATACATGTATACATTTGTATCTCTACTAATAAACGTCCCACTATATACAAAGTCAAATATGTTCGTATCGTACACATGTATCCATATATATATATATATATATATAAGAGAAACAGAGAGAGAGAGAGAGTGAGAGATAGGTATATTAATGATTTAATAGACATCAGTGTACGTGTCAATGTATATTTCTTCTTCTTAACAGTCACTCACTCACCCTCACCCCAAGTATTACTTGTCATTGCACATAAACTCCCCTTTTTACTATTTTCTCTCATTCCCATTATTTCACCAAGAGTGATTTGCTAGCCTGTAGAAACTTGTTCTGTACCTCCCTCCCCCGTATCTCTCAGATAAAAAAACAAAGAGAGAGAGAGAGACAGATGAAGAACGGGAAGGTAATATAGAAAATAAAAATAAAAATAAAATAAAATATAAGAAAATTAAAAAAAATAAATAATAATAATATTTTTTAAAGACAGAGAAACTCTCAGTGTACACACGTAAATGGTGTGAAAGAGGTATCAACTGCAACATTTACCTACTAGATTAAACTCGATAATTTTTCACTAAACTGAATGACTTTTCTTTTTATTTGTGGTATTGCTACTTTCCCACCATTCACGAGGAAGTGGCATAATTGCACCTGCTTTGCGTGCCTTAATTAAACCATTGAAAGCGGATCGCTCTTCCTCTACTCCTGGTGATAACGATAATGAAGAGAGAAAAGGTCCTTCTCCTTCTTCTTGCATGTTCTCTTCAACCTCTTGTGCTTGATAACTAACTTGGAGGAATCTCATTAACTCCTCACACTGTGATACATCTGTGGCAGCCGCAACCATATCCAACTGATGTAATGATTGAAGAGCAAAAGGTTCTAAAAGTTCAGAATAGAGGTAGTAAGTATCTTGTAACTCCTGTAAATAAGGGATAAACTCCTCATATTCTGTAAAGGTATTGACTTTATTTCCATCCACTGACTCGGATCGACTTTGCCCAGATTCCGTATTTACATTTTCTCTTTCATGATTACTATTATCATGTACTTCACTGTTACCACTATTAAAACTTTGTGTAGGATTCTGTTGGCTTACACTTCGCTGGTATTTACTACTGTGCCGCACTTCACCAGGATGCCGCAGCAGGAATGCGAGTTCCCAGAATAACTCCCGTACAGTTTGTAGATGTTTTGCAAATATACCAAGACGCAACACACTAGAGATTGCCTCTGTCCATTGTATAGAGAGATCCATCCATTCCGAGCGACTTTCTTCTCGTACTCTACACAAATCCTCCAAAATAGTGGTATGTAAGACTTCTACAGGACATGATTCACCTAGAAGTACGATTTCATCCGGACCATCTGTGTATGGCTTGACAAGTGTGCAATACAAAGTAGGACAAGTTCCACCAACACGAAAGACGTGAAGAACTTCACAACCTAATGCTGTACTCAAGTCGTTCAAACTTACTTTAAGGAGATCCGAAGCCTTGGTAACCGATGAAGCCTCACTATTTGACTCGTAAGCACTAATATCATCATTCTTTTCTGTAGAAGTATTGATATCACTGTAATAATGTATTTTTTTAGGACCCCAGAAAGGATCTTGATTCCCTCCATCATCATCTGATACTACAAGAAGAGAAATACGAACCACCATTCCTCCTCGAAGTGTATGTCCATAAGGAGAATCGAGAAAAGCGATACAGTCTGCGTGTCGTTGCTTAAGTTCTTTATAAATGGCAACAAAGTATTGAAACATCTTGATAATGATATATGGTTCACGTTTTAATAAAGGACTTATAGGCAATGATTCCCATTCTTTTTTTACTGATAACCATTCTTGAACAACTTTGTTGGCTTTTTCTAAGAGATTGCGATCTGGATCCTTAGTAGTCTTTATTCCTTCATTAGGTTGCTGCATTGTTGGAAGCTCCGATGCATTATATGAAGAGATATTATCTACTGTTTTTACGGCTTCATGTTCAGATAAAGAATCTCTGGGTTTTTGTGTTCTCTCACGTTGATCTTCTTTAACAGATGAAATGATGGACTTTGTGTCATTGTCTGTGTGCGGCGTAAAACGGTTCTGATCCTCATGATGAGATATTTCCTCATCGGGTACTTCATACTGTGTCCAGGCATTACATTGTCCAAGTGGAATCTTTTCCGATCCACCTTGATCGTGCGCTTCCTCAAAAACTTCAGTAGTGCTTGCATGAGGAGAAGAATGATAAGGATTTTCTTCCTCTTGCTGCATAACGTCTACGTTCTCTTCTGGAAATGGATGCAGAGAAGACTTTGGTGTATCCACATAGTAGTATTTCTCATTAGGTGAGTCACTTTTTTCTTGTAGCTTCATCAAACGATTATCCTCACTTTCTGTATCTTGTGGAAGAGAGACGTTTAATTTATCCTGTAAATTCTTCGGATAATGATTTGATGATGATGATGATGACGATGATCTTACCTGTCCCGTCAGATGGCAAAGCCAGACGATTTCACTGGATGGATGTGAGTTAGAGCGCAAACTTTCTGTTTTCTTCATTTTATCGTCCATAGAAACATGCATTCCAAAGTTTATATCCTCTTTCTGTTTATCATGAGGAGTGACAATTACAGTAGTGGTGGTAGTGTTGGTGGAAGTAGTAGCATTCATAACAGCATCAGAATTAGTTGTAGCAAGATTATGGGAGAGTTTTTCGCTATTTTGCTGCAAGAGAATATCCTCCATCTCCGCTGGTGTCCTCAAGACATGAACTAAAGAATCTTCCTTATCTCTACAACTCGCTTTTTCCTCACTGTCTGGTACATTTGATGAGTCCTCCTTTATCTGAACTTGTTCAGGGGTTCGTGGTGTGTTATGATCTTTTGGACCTTCCACTGGTATTCTTTTCATCTGATAATTTTCTTTTTTTGTTAACATAACAGGTAATGTACCAGCATCAGCAACAGTTTGAGAAGTTCCAATAAGAATAACTGGAGTGTTATTAGCAGTATTCCTATTGTCTGCAATTCTCTCCCTCTCTAGATCCTTTTCTGGTATAGGTCTGCGCATGGGTGGTTCTCTCTTCTCTACTACAATCACTTGACCCTTATCCACAGACTGTGGAGCATATGCGGAGAGTGCGGCTGCGCTGTGTGGTTCCGCACCAATACTGGCCCGCCGATGTGTAGTCTCTTGTACAGATGCGGGTATAGTTGGACGGGGTGATACTTCCCCATCTCGTTGGGTGGTGTTTCGTGTATGTGTGGAATCCCTTAAGGGGATAATACTGTTGCTGTTGTTGTTATTATGATTCCTGTTCTGGTTATTATGTCTGTTCATGCTGTTGTTATTACTGTTGTTCTTGTAGGCGGAAGAAGATCGTCGTTCATGACTGACACTGCGCGGTACAGAGAGATTACGTTGTCCCTGTAAATTGGGTGGAGCCTCTGGTTGAATAACGAGATGGATATGTGTAGTGTCCGTTATCAGTGCACACCTTGCGTACCCATCATTGATAGATACGACTGTAATGTGTAGATCACCACGGTCATGGTTTTTAAATTCAAACTCCTCATCAAGACTAACAGCACGTATTTGTTGAAGAAAAAAAGGTGCAATGAAGTGACGTAAGTATGTATCAAATGAACCTTCATCTCCTACACTCTGTGATGTTAGACTGAAAACCACACTGGATGCTGGTGATACCACTCTTTCATCATGAAATTCAAAACGAATCATTGATCCTTCCTCCGCACCAAGGAAACGCATCGTTTGCAGAGGAACCACCACAGCTTCCTTAAAGTATTGCACAAATGTTGTTGATGAAGCATCAGAAGTATTAGAGATATGAGGAGATAAAGATCTTGACAAATTCTTCCTGGCTAATCTACACGTTATAATCGGAGTCATTGGAATACGTGCAGAAGAAGAAGAAGAGGAAGAGGTAGAAGGAACTACCACTGGTTCCGCAGCAGAACCTTGAAAGGTAGAAACCATAAAACCCGAAATTGAATTCCCTCTTCCTCCTACAGTACTGTTTCGGTTTGATATTATAGGAGAAACTGTACGTCCACTACTTCTCCCCCGTTCTTGTACATTCTTGTCAAGAGTGTCATTCACAAGTTTAACCGTTACAAATCCTGATGTGGAGGGTTGTATTTGTTTTAGTAAATAACTATCCATGAGAATGGCATCATTACCATAAATCACTCTACTACTATTTTTCTCTCTGTTGCTTTGTGCGGTCTCATGTGAGAGGTCTGCCATCACCGCTTCAGAATAATCTTTGGTGGATCCATGTAAAGGGAATTCCGTGCCAAATACTTTACCTGTATAGGCAATATACCCTTTTGGAGAAAAAATAGGAACTTCCATTGCCTATTGTCTACTTTTCAATCGATTCTTCTTTTATTTTTCTTTCTTTCTCTCTTTTTTCACTTGTTCCTGTTGATGGTGGGTGTCGATAGGTGTTTTTCTACCTACGTTAAGTTCTTCTCTTCTTTCACTCTATCACTCTTTACAAATCCCTCACTACTACTCTTGACGATAAGAAAATTTTGATTGAAAGCAGGTCTGAAAAAGACTGTGAGAAACCGCCTCTTAGTTTTTTTCTTCTTTCTTTTAGTTAACTCCCTGATACTTGCTCTTCACTATTGCTGTTATTGTTGTTGAGGTAAAGCAAAACACACGGGTTTACTACATAGAAGAAAATAAATAAAAAAAAAAACAGAGAGCAAATGATAAACAAACACAAGAAACACTCTCACAGAGCCACAGCAAAAGAAAATATATATATATATATATATATATATATATATATTTAAGAAAGCAATGCCAAAAAGAAAAAAAAAAATCCCTGATGTGAATAAGTACGAGACAAGAAAAAAAAAAGAAAAGAGAGAAAAAAGTCTTGTGAAGATATGTGGTAATGTGAATGTATTCTCCACACACCTTCGCATGTTAGTGCAGCTACAACACAGCTCAACAAACTTTTCTCTCTTTCTCTCTCTCTTTATCTATATCTCTCTCTCCTGTCAACCATTCACAGACACGACACATCGCCTCAACTACATAAGAGCAACAAACACAACACAAATCCCCTCTAAAACAGTAGCAGCACGCCAGAGAAACTGAAACACCCACAAGTACACATATATACACACACAAATAAATAAATAAAAGAGGATAGAAAAAAGAAAGAAAAAAGTAATGTTTACGCCTTTTTCTTCTTTTCCTTCTTCTTACGTGGTTCTCCTGCTCCCTTTACAGTCTCTGTCTGTGTAGTACCTGGCGTTGAGCTCTTCATCAGCTCTGCCATTTCCTTCGCAGCTTGTTCATACCGTTTTGCTATAAACGCGTCTGGTTCAAAGCGATGCAACCACGTATCCATGGCTGCAGCAAGTTCCTTCGCACTCTCATTCCCGAAAAGATCTTCATGTTTCTGACATCCCTTTACCACAACGGGTCGCCGCAGGCCAAAGAACTCCTTATGTACTCCCGCATCACTTACGCTGTTGGCAGCAGGAACTACCAACTGCATTGGATGCCGCATGTCCGCCAAGTGTTTCACCGGCACATACCGTGACTCCCTGCGGATAAGACCATCCGCGTGAAAAATACTTGCGGGATGAAAAAGATACTCCTCATACAGTGCTTTATCTGCAACAGTGGCTGGACAGGGAAGTGGACTCTCTAGTGATGAAAGTAATGTGTGTTTGGCGAATGCCAAGTCCGCTTCTGGTACGTTCACATCTCTCTCCGCCTTGGCAATCTCTTCACGGCGTTCCATATTCAGCACCAGTTCACGTGTTATCAGCGGGGTGTCGAGTGAAGTTAGTGTACCTATACGATGTGGGTACTCAAGTGAGGCGGCCATGCGCGCTGCAACGAGACATCCATAGGAGTATGTTAAGAAATGTGTCCAACGCACATCAATGGCATCCATTACGGCAGATATTTGCTGACATGAATAATTTAAAAGATCCTGAGGTGCATCATCATATTTCACTTGAAGTGGAATATAGACAGCACCATAATCCCATGAGAGCTGAGAAAGTAATGGTTCGTACTTTTTTACTGCTTTCATTGCATCTTCAGTGTCCTTCGTGGTGTGATCGAGAATGATAAGAGGTCTTGGACCCAAGTGAGTTCCGTGATATAGTAAGAACTGAGGTAATATCTCCTTCTGTGAAGCACTTAAAGAGTGTGTCTGCCACGTTTGAATACGCAATGGTAGAAATGCACGATGTGGTTTACTTTCCAAGACTGTACTTTTCACTGAAGGATTCACTGTTGGTGCCGGTGTTGTTGGGACTGAAGCAGCAGCAACATTACTAACAGTAGCAGTTATTGTACTTGTAGAACTAGGAGTTGTGCCTTTTACACATTGCAATAACCGTCCCCTCCGCATTTTCCTAACTCGAACAAAAAAAAAAAACACAAAAAAACAAGAGTGTGGTCGGAACCCTTTTGTTTAATCGCTATAAAAATAGGAGAGAAGACAGCAATTACTATTGCTCTTGCTGTTACTTTTTTTGTTTTTTTGCTGTTGAAGCTCCCCTTTCTTTTTTTTTTCCTTCTTTAGTGCCTTATTGTCCTCTTATATTTGCGTATTCTACAGCTTAAAAGAGAAAATGAAAGAGACGACAGAGAAAAAGAAGAAAAAAAGAAGAAATATATAAATAGCGTATCCACACATACCTCCAGACTCAAAGAACGAAAGAAAGAAACAAACAAACACCACATATGAGTGAGGATAACCTCCTCATTATTGGTGCTCTTGTTAATGCTGTTGTTGCCCTTTCTTCTTGTTTTTTTTTTTTCTTTGTTTGTTGTTACGCCGCTTCTTTTCCCCAAGTGGAGTTTTTTTTTTTTTTTTTTTTTCAAACGCCATCAGGGAATACCACTTGTAATGCAGCATAATCACCCAATAGTACATGCCTTGGTTCCACAAGAGCACATCAACTAATTATATATATAAGTATTAGATGCAAATAGTTGATGTGGCGTAAACGTTAACTAACGTCAGAGAACTGGCACTGCCAGAATAACAAATATATGCCTCTTTCATTCTTTCTTTCCTTATATATCGTTTTTCATGGTAAGGGTAAATTAGGTTGATGCCGCAGAAAGAAAAACTAGAGTCTACAGGTACAAATACACATATTCACAGCAACGCCCACATAACAATAATAATAAAAAAGACAACAATAGAGCACAATAAGACGTAAGACTTGGCAAAACCACGTGTATACCCACTCACCAAGTCCAAAAAAGCGAGTACACTACAAAACAATCAAAAGAGAACGATGCAGGGGGAGGAGAGGGGGGGGGGGCAAAGAAGAGAAAGGATAAAGCACAAATATATAAATATATAGATATAGATATAGATATATATGGGAGACATAAAAAAAAAAAAAAGAGAAAAGGAAATAGTGCCAGAAAGAGAACCGCAAAAAGTAGAGTAAGACACTTATCTTTCTTTTCTTGTTTTCATTTTCACACGCTTTTTTTTTTTTTTTTTTGATCTACAACCCAGTAATAGTAGGAACGGTTGTTGTTGTTGTTTCGTTTTATTTTTTGTAATTCCGTTTCTTTTCACCATTTCCTTTTTTTTTATTTTTATTTTTATTTTTTTTCGTTCGGCTTGCCGTCTGTATGCGTGCACAGGGAGAAAGGGGGAAAAAAAGGGGGGTGGTGTTATACGTGGTGTATTGCAACCGTCAGAACTTATTTAACTAAAATACACATAAAGATTTATCCTTTTTCTTGTAATATACGCTGTAGTATAAAAACAAAAACAAAAAAAAGGACTCTCAAAGCTACCATCCTGCAATTATCATACAAACACAACAATAATATATAAAAAAAAAAAAAGGAGAAATAAATAATTTAAAAAAAGGAACGAATAAGAAGAAGAGTGGTGAACAAGAGTTTTTTTTTTTTTTTCTTTTTCTGTCTGCTCCTCCCTCTTCTTCTTCTCTACATCCTTTTCTTCTTCTTATCTGATACATTCTCCTCGTGGTACTCTATTGATCTACTAAAAATAAAGAAAAATATGGAGAGCGGCTTTAACATTACCACCACCCCTGTACACCCCCTTTGGGTGCTCTTCATCTTGATTCTCCGTTTTTTTTTTTTTTTTTTTTATTCTCTCTCTTCTTCGTCTTTTACGTTTCTCCAGTTTCCTTCCTCTTTCACTTCTCTCTTTCTCTTTCTCTCTTTTTCCTTCCATCTTCCCTCTTTCTCCACACTCTCGCTGGTCTATGGGTCCCTTCAGCACACACCCAGCCAATCATCTCAGTCATCTTCACTCGGATAGTGTCTCCTGTGACATGCGGTCGTACTCCGCCCGTGCAAAGCGGTCCCACGGCGTCTGCTCTAATCCACCATGCAGCCGCTCCTGGTGGGCGACGAGTGGATCCTTCTGCTCAAACTGCAGGAAGCGCACCACGTTCGTCATCATATTGAGGGCCACAGCTGCGGCCTCTGGGTTGGAGAGAAGATCACTAAGTCGCAGTCCACGCGCCACATCCGCATCAAACAAGTCAAAGATTTGACAAATTACATCCTCAACAGATACAGCTCCATCAGGTATGTGCGCTAACAAAATTTCTCGTGTTGTATCATAAAATTTGTGCAATTCATATGCGGAGAGTATTCCATCACCATCAAGATCCAGAATTCGAAACCAATACCGTATCGCTGTTGATGTTGATTTATCCTCCTCTGAGAGACAAAACCAGACAAAGTCCTCATAGTTCATTCGGTTCTTTGTTGCACAGGTGGATCGGCGACCCATACCGCTAAATGTGCGTTCTGCTATGACTGGGTTCATTACACCCTCTGGGGCGTATTTAATAAAATCATCAAATGACAAAAGCATATCCCGATCCTCGTCAAGTTCCCAAAATCTACAATACAATACGTAAAAGTGTTCATAAGAGAAGTAAAGGAGTACAGAGTTTATGTCATCGGTTGCGTCAACTAGGCGAAGTGCGTCTAAAAAACAAGATCGTTCCATTTCAGTATAAGATATACGACCACGATCAAAGCGGTCCAAATCATAAAATATACGGTAAATAACCGTTTCCAAATACCTACTTTGAAAATCGGGTGTTTGTTTTAAAAATGCAAGACCAGGGTGAAATTCCAGTAGTACCTCAATGTATGCACGGAAATCCTCCGGTAATAAATACGAACGATCTTTCTGTTGTTGTTGTTGTTGTTGCTGTTGCTGTTGCTGCCGCTGCCGCTGTAGATCTGGTGGTAGTTCTTCTTCTACAACTGACGTTTCCCTTGACTTTCCACTCTTCCCAAGAGGTGTGATTGAACTACTTGTAAGAACTCTAGAACTAAGAAGAAACATTTCAAAGACTCGACGGAGAATGCACCGACCACGCAAGTATGATTCAAATAATTCCCATAATTGCTCCACTGTAACTGATGATGTTTGAGACGTAGAAGTTGATCCTGAAAGTACAGAAGAAGACATCGACACAGGCATATTTCCACGAATTAACTTTGAACTGGTATTCCCATTATCTGTGTTCGCTTGTAAAATCTTCATTATGAGAAAGGCAAAATATTTTGGTAATCCAAAACACTGTGTACATATTCTTTGGATTGCTAATGTTAACTGTAACCTATAGTTCATCCCATGTCTAGTTTGTAGGCTGCTACTCATACCCAGAACTCCTTTTCCCATTGATCTTGGGGGACGTGTGCCTTGTTGATGTCTAGGAAAAGATGGAAGACGACTAAACTCTTTTTGAATAAAACTGTAAACATCCTTATCATCCATTGCTTTAAGCTGAGCTATTGGAAGGGACTTAGTTTTTCGCCCCCTGAACGCATCTGCACTCATGACAGCAGCTCGATCCTCTTGAGTAGTGTAAACAGCTGTAGGGATTACCATTCCCTCTACAAGTTTTAGATGTGGATTTTCATGCATTTTACTAATAGGTCCAATGAGTTTCTCCTCTTTTACCTGTGGTGCTCCTTCTGGGTAATAGAAACGGGGGATATCTTCATATGTCGCTGCCTTGGTGGTAAAATTTTGTGAAGGTGTTTTTTCACTTTTCAATACTCTAATCAATGCAGAGTTTGGAGCCTTTGGTGCTTTTGGTGGACGTGGGCGAGGAGGTGCCATTACTACTTCCTGAGCAGTTAAAGATCCTTCTGTAAAAGGAGAGCTACGTCTTGGAGATGTACTGGTAACATCCTCTTTCTTCATTATCACATCAATTCCACTAACTTCTTCACTTCCTTGTTGTAATCTTTGTTCTTGCCGTTGTTGCCGTTGTTGTTGTTGTTGCTCCTGTTGTTGTTCTTGTTCTTGTTTCATTGTTACCTCTCTATTTACACCCCTTGGCTCAGGGGAATTCTGTGTGAAGGTACCTGGCAATGAGGACGAGGATGACGATGATGATGATGATGATGATGATGAGGGTGATCTACCTTTTGACTTAAGTACTCTTTCCTCTTCATTTGGTTGGCGAGCTCCTAAACTTAATTCATCACCCTTCATATTTCCAATATCCCCATAATGTCCATCATTATTTTTCGTCCCCACATCAGTATTATCACCACTAGACTTGGCTTTTCGGAAAACCTCTTTAACTAAACGTTCAATAGCGTCAGCCGTCGCTACATCACTCATCCAATATTCCAAGAGTTCAAGTACCTTCACTTTTGTTCCTATTTGAGATGATCCAGTAGAGTTTTGTAGACAGGTTCTAACGCTTGAACTTTGTTTTTCTGTCAATGCATTCTCAAGAAGCAATGGTATATCAGGAAAAGCCTTATTGCCATTTAAGACAGATTTGTTCCTTCCAGAGGCAGGTGTAGAGGATCGGGAATTCTTGTTAAACATCAAAGAGTAGGATAACTCTGAACGTGAAGTTGGAACAGATGCACTACGAAAAACATCCTCTCTCTCGTTCTTTACTACTTCTGTATGGTACAAATGTCCTTCTTCCATTGGTAGAACGCCATGAATAGAATGACTACGACCATAATCGTTACCCTGGCGAGTTTGGGATCCACCATTAATATCAACACTGTAACCACGCTGAGAATGACTTCCGTCACGACGTCCACCATAAGATGGACTCTGTTTCCAATCATCAAATCCTTCATAGCGAGAGGTTCCCTGTGGTCTTCCTCGCCCTGAGTATGACGTTGGCGGTGATGGTGTTAATTTTCCAAAACCCAACTCTCCCGAGCGATAACCACTACCGCTGCTACCGTTATTAGTAAGGACACTGTTACCACCAGAAACAGAACTCTCACCCTTATTGGAGGTCATACCTTCACTCAAGAGTACTTGATGCTGTTCTAAATAGGAAAAAACCGCTCCAGTGAACGGTCTCTCATTTTTCATGTCTTAATAGACAGCTATCCGCACATGCTGTCAATCCCAGATTAAATTCACCACAAAAAGAAAGGGAAAAAAAAAGAAAGACAAAGAAGAAATCATATCAATAACAATGATAAGAGTAACTGCAGAGAAAACATATATTTAAACGGTACTATATTTCAAACTACAATGCCTTGTATTGTTTCTTTTTTTTTTTTGTCGTTTCACTTCTTATTCTTTCAGACATGGCACCGTTTTTCGTAACGAACCAATCACAATATAGAGCAACCAAATTAAGCAACTAATAAGAAGAGGTCGAATCATTTCAACCAAAAAAGAACTAACTAAATCGACATCTTTCAATTGGTTTGCATCAGAAATATTAGCAATATTAACTATAGTGGGAAAATCAGGACCATCCATGTGAAGTACGACAGAAGAAATATTGAAAAAAAAAGTACGAAAAAGTGCGTTCACGCAAAATACAGCACAAATAATCTCCAAAACAAACTCTCCATAAAGGACAGGCTTGCAAACTACATGGGATACAGAAGCTTCTTCTTTTACTGAGGTCCCATTATTTTGCACTGGTAACAGAGTCTCGTCATGATGTTCTGGTCTTTCAATTTTCGATGGGGCAACTCCATTTTGAAGGCGTTCCGTCAGCATAGTACTCAACTTTCGATAACACTCAGGCATTTCATTATCAATTGATGCACGCAATATTTTTCCTTTAACCCAAACATCTCTAAGGAACTGAATATGTCCAAAGGCTCGCATCGTAAGTTTTGCATCATTCTGGGTAAAAATTAGTAATGCCTCTGCACGAAACGCGTCTGCAAACATCACACCCTCAGCTTGACCAGAAAGTTGAACGACCAACGTGGGTTCACGACCCTCAACATTCATAAATGCATACCTTTGGTATTCTGTAAATGGACATGCCTTGGCAACTAAAGCTCTTATTATCGTTGTACATTTGAATTGCCTTTGACCAGAGAAAATAGGACTTCCCGTTAATGCTGGTCGCCATGGTTCCCATTTTTGGTCAGTATCCTTCCGGTCCCTATGATACTCCTCCATTATAGAAGAACTATCATCAAAGCAAACTTTGAATACATCAAACACTGTCTTACCCTCAGGTAGCACTACTGGATCCATAAGCTCCTTGGTAAAACATGAAAAGTCACTTAAAGCTGTTCCATAATCCGTCAACACTTTAGAAAACTCGTTTAATGAATCCACAACTGGAATTTTTGACACATCTGCTTCACTTGTTTTTGTAGTAAAAGCAACAGCTGCCATTCGTTTTCCTTTTCACGCTACTGGGGCCTAACAACATCAAAGAGAAAAGAAAAGAGAAAAAGTAGTTTTTAATCTAGACCAAAAAAAGGGGGTAGCAGAAAGGTAGAAAAGAGAGAGACAATCCATACGATAAGAAAGAGTAAAATAAACATAAAAGAAAAGATAGACTGAATAACCCACATATCTCAGCTTTACTAAATAGAAAAAATTTCTTTGGCCAGCAATCTATAAAACTTTAGAATACCAAAAGCTAAAACAGATAAAATTGTGGGTCGCAACAACTCAAAAAATGTTTTCACTAATCCAAGGAACAACAAACCTTCTTTACCACTACTATGGAGTTTCCAACTATTTTCATCCAAGTTCAAGAAAAATACAGAGTAAAGCCCAGTCAAAGAAGCAATTAGCCCAAGCACAGAAAGAACAACATTCCCACCATATAAGAACTCTTCTATTTGAAAGAAACTCAGATTCAAATTTGAGACCAGGTCTCTCTCCGTGGGGGGCGTTAAATACACTGTCTCCTCTGTAGTGTGAGTCAATCCCCTTACTGAACTAATATGCTTCAACCGTTCCGTCAGCATAGTACTCAACTTTCGATAACACTCAGGCATTTCATTATCAATTGATGCACGCAATATTTTTCCTTTAACCCAAACATCTCTAAGGAACTGAATATGTCCAAAGGCTCGCATCGTAAGTTTTGCATCATTCTGGGTAAAAATTAGTAATGCCTCTGCACGAAACGCGTCTGCAAACATCACACCCTCAGCTTGACCAGAAAGTTGAACGACCAACGTGGGTTCACGACCCTCAACATTCATAAATGCATACCTTTGGTATTCTGTAAATGGACATGCCTTGGCAACTAAAGCTCTTATTATCGTTGTACATTTGAATTGCCTTTGACCAGAGAAAATAGGACTTCCCGTTAATGCTGGTCGCCATGGTTCCCATTTTTGGTCAGTATCCTTCCGGTCCCTATGATACTCCTCCATTATAGAAGAACTATCATCAAAGCAAACTTTGAATACATCAAACACTGTCTTACCCTCAGGTAGCACTACTGGATCCATAAGCTCCTTGGTAAAACATGAAAAGTCACTTAAAGCTGTTCCATAATCCGTCAACACTTTAGAAAACTCGTTTAATGAATCCACAACTGGAATTTTTGACATATCTGCTTCACTTGTTTTGGTAGTAAAAGCAACCTCACCATCAATTGTTTCGTTTATGTAGGGCAAACTCTGAGGAGGAGGGTTCAACGTTTTCATGGCATTAAAAAAATGTGTTAAAATATTGAATGCGGCATCTCGGCTTACAAAACCAGTAAAGCTATGTGTTGAACCATTATTAAGTCGCACAGCAATACCATCAAGAATCACCATTGTTTGTTCTTTTTCAATATTTTTTACCTCTTTAAAAGCAATTTGTAATCGTTCTGACATCATTACAGAAGAAAATAATATATAATTCGTAGTTATGTAAATTCTTCCTATTCGATGAACTCCACTAACGTAACTACATTGAAAATAATCAATAAGTGGTTCTGATTTAGGAATTCGTGGAAATTGTTGCAAGACTTCATATTTTTCAGGAGCAGTATCTTGTCCTATAAAAGCCTTCCCTACACTAGTGGATAAACTATGTGATTTTTCCTCATTCTCATTACCTTTATCAGAATAAAGCGTTGTATCAGAATCAGTTTTTGTACTATTATAAGGTGGGGTAGAAGATACAATTTCTGCTATAATTGGTTTTGTAGAGGAAACTGTATCAATTAAAGAGTTCTCTTCATCATCTCTGGAAGTATCTTCTTCAGATGGAGAAGATAAGGAATCAGATGATTTTGACGATCCCTGTGCAGGTATTACCGGAGATGGAACAGTGGTTTGTACGGGTACTGGAGCTCCTGATAAGACATATCTTACTCTAACAGTCCATAAAGTTCTTAGTAGTTTGAATATTTGTCCTGTTCCACCAGAAAGGAAACCAGAAAACATGAGTTCCTCTTCTTGCTTAGTTTTTATAACAATTGAGTCAAAAATAAAATTGCTCCCCTTATCAACATACGTCACATCCTCCCACCGTACCATTATAGGATCCTTAAGAAAAGGAGAACCAAAACATACTCGTAGTGAAGATGCATAAAGTGTTCCCATACGTGCAAACTTCTTTTTTTTTGTCGTCAAAGCACACTGACGAGACTCCACAAGTTTTTCAGATAATGGAACCTGGGGAAACAAACGATGAAAGACCTGCTCTTCCGGTGTGTATAATGCTACTGCCGATTTTTCATTTTGTGTGGATGTACGAGATGGAGAAACAGAACCATCCACAGACATTTTTTGTTTTCTTTCTAGTATTTACTTAAGAAAGAAGATAGACTCCAAAAAAAAAACAGTAGGGAAGAAAAAAAAAAAAGAGTTTTCGTACCCAAGACATGCAAGAAGAACAATAATAATAATAATAATAATAATAATAATAATAATAATAATAATAATAATAATAATAGTAATAATCATAATCATAATCATAATGGATATTTCTTTCTATTTCTTTTTTTCATCTTACTTTCTCTTCGTTTGTTTGTTTTTACAGTAATGGGGAATAACATTTAGATTTTTCCGCAAAAAAAAAAAGAGGACAGAAAACAGAGAAATAACAGTAAAAAAAAAAAATTCGTATGGTTCACGCTTTTACTGTCTCACAAGATGATCCAAAAGCCTCAACACAGCACATGGGATAAGGAGATGGTTCTGGGAAAATGTTCTTGATACTTGTGATGTATTCATTTAAAAATTTTTTGTCTTCATCTGTTTTTGCATGAACAGCATAACCATGAAACATTGGACAACTCCATAAAGCACCAGAAACTGTATTTACAACATGAGTGGCTTTTTCAGGTTTTTCCAACCATAGTTCATACTCGGTATAATCACCTTCAGTAAATAATGCAGAAACAACTACTCCTGTTACTTGTTCAATTAAATGCGCAATGCGTAATGGAGGTATATCTCCTGCAATACCTTTAAGTGTGACATCTGCATTCCTACAAGATAGCCTCCCAAAAAATGATCGCGTTGTACAACGTCCACATAAATAATTAAAAATTTGGAACTGAACTCCAGGTTTTTCAAGTGGTCGAAGAGTAAAAGAATGGACAAAGATATTATTCGTTTCCATAAAGGCAAGAGGAGCCACAACCATTTCACCCCTATAAGAAACTTTCACCCACTCCTTTTTAAGATGACAATAAGCGTCATTTTCCCCTTGAGTAAGTCCTCCTTCAGGAGTCGGAGACCAAGGTTTTGCATAAACTGATAAACTACCTTTTTCCATTCGTTTCATAGCTTCACTTGAATTATTGTTTTTTTTAACAGGACTAGATGCCCTAACAATGGGTGTTCCACTGTACCTTCTTAATCCACTGCTAAGCAAGGCATTGGCGTGTACCATAGCTGGTAGATTCATTCTCATCATCATATCGTAGTACTGTGGTGAATATGTCCAAGATTGATTTATACCTGGGGGAGCCGACTGTTCTTGAACTGTAGAAGAAGAATATTGCCATTTTTCTGGCATAAACAGTGGAGCACTTACATTAGGTTCAAATGGTGCAGCATCAACTGAAAAAGTATGTTGCGCAGTTGGGTCTCCTTCCTTTAACACCTTAGAAGATTCCGAACCTTCTCCGGCCATTTCTCACAAATAATAAAAAAAAAGAAAGGAGCCGTTGTTATAACAATTAGAAGAAGAAGAAGAAGAAGAAGAAGAAGAAAAAAAAAAGAAAAAAAACAAGAATTGTAGTAGAAGGAAAAGAAGAAGTACTGGTCTGAGTTGTAGTTGTAGTAGTAGGAGGAGGAGGAGAATAGAAAAAGACACAGATAATATTTAAAAAAAAGATAAAAAAAAAGATAAGAAAAAAAGAGAAAAAAAAAAGTGGGGGTCTCTTGAGTTTAGTTAAGAAAGTAGATTGTTTTATTCACATCGAAAATGGTATGAAAATAATATATTTCCCAAGAACAGTACACCAAAAAGAAAGAAAGAATGAAAGAAAAAACGTTTCCAAACGCGTCATCACTAAGGAAGAAAGTTAAGCTAAAGACAGAGACCTCATCTACAAAAATAAAAGGAAAAATAGAAGTAAAAATTAGAATGACAACCAAACAATCTGATCGCACGCAAAAATTATCGCAAGGAAACTCCATTAACATACCACCCGGAGAGAGCAAAGGAACCGTGGGGAGAGCCAAAAGAATAAAGAAATGAAACGAAACACAAGGAGGAGAACGAATACTAAGAAGAAAAAAAAAAAAAACCACCCCCACCCAAAAATAAATAAAAAAAAAGCAACCATCCCCAGCAGATCACTTCCTCTGAACCTCTCTATCTCTCTCTTTTTTTTTTTTCCTTTCTTCTTGGTTCCACCCCTCTTTGCTGGGAGGGGATGGTTGCCTCGTTTCCCTCACCCCCCACCCGTTCCGGTCTAAAGGGGTATGGGGAGGGCCGAATGAAAGAATTAAACCTCTAAGGGAAGAGAAACAAATCTGTTATTTGATCAACTAAACCTTTTAGTTTTCTTAAATAAGCCATATCCCACATCAAAAATAAGTTTTTAAGAAAACAAATTTTTTTTTTTTCTGTTTTCTTAAAACCTTCAAAAAAAAAAAACTTTATTTTTTTCTCTTATTTATATTTTATCCTCCATGCGAAGTCCCCGTGGGGATGTAGCTCAGATGGTAGAGCGCCCGCTTAGCATGCGGGAGGTATTGGGATCGATACCCAACTTCTCCATTTTTTCTTCTCATTCTTTCCCACTATAGAGAACAATTCTCAAAGTTTTTCTTCTTTTTTTTTTTTTTTACTCCATTAAAAGATAAATAAAAATAAAAAGAATAATTATCACTGGATATCTTCGATCTATCTTATTCCCCAGAAATAAGAGGTTTGGAATTAAAAAAAAAAAAA